AGGAAAAGAGAATATCCACTTGAGCTATAATGAACATCACAAAACCCTAAGGTTTTGTTCATATTACCCTCTCAAATTTTCTGGAATATTTGCAGGTTAATAGGATGATCTCTATATTGGTAATTCATGGGGGCACATAAATAATCAGCTATTATATATGCTATATATAGTATTTATATATACTTTTTATAAAACTGTTATTAAATTCAGACCTTGAATTAAATCACCCAGAAACTGATATTCCAGCAAAATATTACTTAAATGTCTTTAGACAATAGGATGTGAATTTTCAGCTTTGACATATTAATTTCAGCCAAAATATATCCTTTTAGAAACTTTTCTACTTCTTTCCATCCCCTAAAGTATCTGAACTGAGGTTGTAGACTGTCTTAGTGTTTATTCCAGGGCTAATGATGTGTGATGGCCATGTCTCATACATGTTACACAATTTACAATATACTATTTAATTTACTATCTGGCTAGATTGTTTTGTTGTACAGGGAGACTCAAATGGAACATATTTCATTATCTTAGCTCCTAGAAGAACACTGTGGAGATTGAAATGGGTTTAAATTGGCATGCCTCACATTATGCTAGGTTTCAAAAAGACAGAGCCCAGGTGCTTTTAGCTAAATCAGGCAAATGATCTTGCCAAAATTCTTCAATATAACATTCCTTGGTTACACACGAATATCGTCCTATATAGAGGCTGCCTCCTTAGCTGGAAAGAATGGACATTTTGAGAGAGAGAATATTAAGAAAATTGAATCATTGTTGCAAAAACAGAACAAGAAATTCTATCTTCACAATATCATAAGCTAAGATATTTGTATCTAGCATTCACTTTAGTAATCCCTCAGGTTTCAAACTCTCTCTTACATAACATTTGTGCAGTTTCTACATCTTTCTCAGATGTCCTGTGATTTTCCTCTCAACAAACACCACAGGCAGAAGAGAACCACCAGCAGCTTCTCGCATACCCTGTTCCATGACCTGTCTGACTTATTGAATAAACTTAGGCTTTCCTCTGTGAGTCCCTTTAGCAGAAATTCAAAGTTTTCTTTAAATTTCATCACATGTGATGGTGGCTACTCACGTACACAATCCATACATGTAACTGGTGGTGTAGGGAAGGGAGGCCACAGGCTTTGTATTTTATGAGGTAAGCAGAAAAAATACATATGCCATCTAGAAAACCGCTTCTAGGATTCATTATAGAATCGGCACATCTTGTTTGAAGAAAATAAACATGCACGCAAAATAATAAAAATAGGTGGAAATAAATAGAAGGTGAGACTTTGAGAGCTCTGAAGCTGATAGTAAGGAGGGAAAAGGCCTGGTCTAGGTGGGAAAGGGGCCCAAAGAAAAAAGTGTGTGTGTGTGTGTATGTATGTGCGTGCATGTGCATATGTGTGTGTGTGTGTGTGTGTGTGTCTGTGTGTGCGCATGCATGATTGTGTATTAAAAATGGAGAAGGCGGATGAAAAAACACAAAGGAGAGAAAGGGGCTGCAGAGAGAGATGACAGGAAAGAATGTAAAACTTCTATGGCAGGAGCGCCAAGAAAGATACTCCTCAGGAAAGCAAGAAAGCTTCTGGAGAACTTTAAAGCCTAATAAAAACAAACAAACAAACAAACAAAAAAAAACAAAACAAACAAAAAAAACCGAGCCTTTTGCAATGCAAGGCCCAATATGCTATTAATTGTGCTATTATCAACACTGCTGTACCGATGACTACCCTTGTATGAGTGAGTGACTGAATATTAAGAAACAGAATGGCGTTTCCTGTCTGTGTTGACATGGTAAAGAGGAGAGGCTGCAGGAAGATATCTCATGCCAACCTAGATCCCATTAGGGATTTGCAGAAGTCTCATTGGAAACATCGATCCTTCATAGAATGTGGAATTGCAGTTGAGATCATAACAGTTTTTTTTTTTTTTTTTTCCTGGAATTCAAGGGGCAGCTTGCATCTGAAAGAGGTCTAGCTGGCATCTATCTGCATCCAGAAGTCTTTACCCCACATGTTCGGGTAAGGTAAACAAGTAAAATGAAGCAAGCAGGAGACGCTGGAGATGATGGAGACTGTGGGAACCTGAGGTCTCCCGCCATTCCTAGATAGCTCTGCTGCTTCTTAGTTTCACAGTATGTGGGCCATGTGAGAGTGTACACTCAGTGTTGCTACAGTTATTTTTTTTTTCCAAGAGAAGCTCCAAGTCTAAATATTTAGATACAAACCTCTTCATTTAAAAAATCTGTGGGCCAGATAGATATGAGATCTACCAGTTTGCAAACTCTCCTGTATATCTTAGCTGAAATTTCACTCTTTCATGTACAACCAATTAAAACAGTACATAAATCAGTTCTTTTTCATCTTACAAATAACACAAATCCAAAATGTTCAGTTTTCCCTTCCTTAAGGAATGGGTCTCATTTAATATTCTAAGACTGAGTCCCAGACAGTACATCCGTATTTCAGAAAGCATATTCAGGAACTTGAGAGTGTCAGAAACAGTGGAATGTCCTCTGCATTGCTAGATGGAACTTTCTTCTCTGAAAAGGGCAAAGGCGTGAAGCAGCCATCTCCTAGGGGTGGGTCCTAGAAGGCACCTCCTGATACTACAAATACGTACCACTGAGCTAAACTCAGTTACACAACTTACTGTAAAAAATAAAATAAAGGACATTGAAAATATAGACCTTTTCTGACTGCTCACTTGCCTGTCTAAAAATTCTATTATCTTGGAGGAAGTATAGACCACAAATCTTGGGAGGACCAGCACAATAGATCCCTCTGTATGTTTGGTATTAGAGTGTGGCTATAACAATGACAATTTCCCGCCATTCCCACATCCATTCAAAATCCTCAATATCATTAAACTAATCCACTAGATGAAGCATTGTTAATTTCACTCATTCTCAATTAATTTGTAGGTGACCTGAAACAGCAATAAAGTTAAATGAATTTTTTAAACATGTGGAGCCATTTCAAAAAATAATTTTTGAAACATTAATTTTTATTGAAGAAATATTTCAAAACTAGAGAAAAGCAGAATAATAGGTATTACAGATACTCATGTATCCCACCAACTAGAGTTAACAAGTGTTAAAATATTGCTGTATTAGTTCTCTATTTCTTGAAACAAATTTTTAGATAAAAGCAGAGTATGCAAAAGCTCACATGGAGCTGAATTGTTTGCAGATAAAGGAAGACTCAAAATGTTGCTCACTGGGCAACCCCATTGCCCCTAAACCTTCAATGTTCCACTGAGGGGTGAACAAGCAAGAGTCAATCAGGCATTGATAATCAAAGATAAAGAAATACTACTTTTAAGTTCATTTGAATTTAAACATTATGCTAGCTGAATTTAAATCCTCCAAAAATTTATTTGTTAAAACCTAACGCCAAATGTGATGTTATTTGAAGATGGGCCCTTGGAAGGTGATTTGGTCATGAGAACAGAGCCCTCCTGAAGGGAAATAGTACCCTTATAAAAGAGGGCAGATAGCTCCTTGTTCCTTTGGCCATATGAGAACAGAGCAAGATCATTGTCTGTGAATAAGGAAGCAGGCCCTTGTCACACAGCGAATCTGTTGGTGCCTTGATCTTGAACTTCCTAGACTCTAGAATTGTAACCATTGACAAACCTGAACAAAAACAAGCAATGGGGAAAGGATTCCCTATTTAACAAATCGTGTTGGGAAAACTGGCTACCCATATGCACAAAGCTGAAACTATACCCCTTCCTTATACCTTATAGACAAATTAACTCAAGATGGGTTAAAGACTTAAACATAAGACCTAAAACCATAAAAACTCTAGAAGAAAACCAAGGCAATATATTTCAGGACATAGGCATGGGCAAAGACTTCATGACTAAAACATCAAAAGCAATGGCAACAAAAGCCAGAATTGACAAATGGGATCTAATTAAACTAAAGAGCTTCTGCACAGCAAAGGAAACTATCATCCGAGTGAACAGGCAACCTACAGAATGGGAAAATGTTTTTGCAATCTATCCATCTGACAAACGGCTAATATCCAGAATCTACAAGAAACTTAAACAAATTTACAAGAAAAAAACAACCCTATCAAAAAGTGGGCAAAGGATATGAACAGACACTTCTCAAAAGAAGGCATTTATGTAGCCAAAAACATATGAAAAAAAGCTCATCATCGCTGGTCATTAGAGAAAAGCAAATCAAAACCACAATGAGATACCATCTCACACCAGTTAGAATGGCAATCATTAAAAAATCCGAAAATAACAGATGTTGGCAAGGCTGTGGAGAAATAGGAACACTTTTACACCGTTGGTGGGAGTGTAAATTACTTCAACCACTGTGGAAGACATTGTGGTGATTCCTCAAGGATCTAGAACCAGAAACACCATTTGACCCAGCAATTCCATTACTAGGTATATACCCAAAAGATTGTAAATCATTCTACTATAAAGACACATGCACACATATGTTTATTACAGCACTATCCACAATAGCAAAGACTTGGGACCAACCCAAATACCCATCAATGATAGTCTGGATAAAGAAAGTGTGGCACATATACACCATGGGATACTATGCAGCCATAAAAAAGGATGAGTTCGTGTCCTTTGCAGGGACATGGATGAAGCTGGAAGCCATCATTCTCAGCAAGCTAACACAGGAACAGAAAACCAAACACTGCATGTTCTCACTCATAAGTGGGAGTTGAACAATGAGAACACATGGACACAGGGAGGGGAACATAACACACTGGGACCTATTGGGGGTTGGAAGGCTAGGGGAGAGAAAATATTAGAAGAAATATCTAATGTAGATGATGGATTGGTGGGTGCAGCAAACCACCATGGCACATGTATACCTAGGTAACAAACCTGCACATTCTGCACATGTATCCCAGAACTTAAAGTATAATAATAATAATAATAATAATAATAATAATAATAAAATTTTTAAAAAGAAAAACAAATGTTTATTGTTAAAGCCACCTAGTCTATGGTATTTTTGTTATAGCAGCCTGAACAGACTAAGGCATTTCACAAATGTAAATTTTCTACACAAGTAGTAACAATAAGACTATACCTTCCTGCCTGCCTGCCTGCCTTCACTTCTTCCTTCCACCTTTCTCCCTCCCTCCTTCCTCCTTTTTCCCCTCTCTTCTTGCATTCCTTCCTTTTTTCTTTCTCTGTTTCCTTTTAAAGGAGTTACTGGTTTTATTTATTACACATGAAAACATTGTGTGTTCTGACTTTGTTATTTATTTATATTCGAGGGACTTCAGGAAATTTCTCAAAACTCTTTGACCCAATTAGAAAATGAATCTGAATGCCTAGCTATTACACGTTCAGAAGTAAACTGTGCTATATAACTTCAAAATCATCCATCTGAATACTATGTATTTTTAAATATTACATGATTGGTTATAATATAACAAGTGTTTCATTTTTTCCATAAAGTCAAATACATTTAAACTTCACAGAAAAGCAATAACAAAATGATGCTAAAATGCAAAAACACAACTAGAGTAGAATTAACTCTACTCTATGATCTTTTGTGCCTGAACTTAAATATGGGTCACATTCAGATGCCTAGCTTGATACTGCTGTAATTTTAAGCACTACCTTTGCAATACTGGATTGAAATAATAAGAACACTAATTACATAGAGAGGTGAAACTCACAATTCTGAAACAGAAATTCACCCAGAGTTTCTCTTGCCACTTGGGCCATGAGCTACTTAAACAATATTGAACAGTATGGTAGTTGACAAGCAGAAAACATGGGTCTCAACATGTCAGGCGGTCTATTTCCGTGCAGCGCAGCTAAAGCAAACACTTCATTTTGCCCCGAAAAACTAAATTTGTCTAATTTACCTGTGACACAAGCCCCCCAAGAGTTCTTGAACAAGTTTTGTACCATGTATTCCACACGCTTCAAAAGTAAGAAATAAATATGATACGACTTACCCCTACCTTCGTTCCAGTAACTCCTGCCTTCATTCACTCATCATTTCTAAAGAAAGAAAAAGCAAGAAGTATTCATTGTTCATGTACCTACCAGTTATATAACTTAATCCAGAATATAATTCAAATTAGCTGCTGAATGGCAGCTTTGCTTTTAAAAAAAAAAAAAAAATTTGATGAGTTGTTGAAAATTGTTTTAATGTTTTCTATCATTAACCATCCACTTTACCAGTTGTAGACCAAAGTAGATCAGGACACATCTGTTCAGGAAACCTAGACTGCTCCCTTTTTCTTCAGAATCCATCTGTCTTTAGATTTTGAGTTAAATACAGTATTTGGATCTATATTGCATTTTGGAATTTTAAAAAATTTCTTTAAATACATTGGAAAAAAGAACACATGAACCAATTTTCCCATTCCTGTTATTTACTTATGTCAACCCCCTCTCCCATTTACTCTTATTTCTTTAATTGTCTCGTCCCTAAATATATCTACATTAATTTAGGAGAAACAATCAGGCAGCCAAATTCAATATGCACCAAGCAAAATGGACACTGGGAACTTCGCAAGTTAGGCATATATGCTCATCTAGGGATAGGAGGGAGAGGAGAGGGTGGGTATAACAGAGAAATAGTGGAATTAAATTCTCAGATCCCAAAGAGTTAATTTATGCATCTAAGCCTGTGTGTCTGAGAAATGGATTCTATGTATTTGGAATACTTTTAAAAAGTCAGAAATCAAAAGAGAATGGTTTAATATCCAGTGCATTTTGATAGAATTCTGAAAAATAACTAAAGATTGAGGTTTGTTGACACTGGAGAGTTACCTAGTTTTCTAATTGCAATTTTATTGAAGTCAAAGTTGAGCACCCTCGTGGGGCCTCCCTGCTATTAGAATAACAAGTTAGGGCTGGCCAAAACACACTGGCTCTATAGCCATTGGGCAAAACAGGCGATAACCCAGCAGTGAAATAACAAGTTGGCACCACTACTTCCTTCTATCGTATGTTGACAAAGAAAAATAATGAAAGCTGCACCAAAAACTGTACTTGAGACAAAAATGCATTTGTATGAAATACTTGATTTGGAGGCAATCAGAATTTTCATTTATAGCAGCTTGTTACCAGAGTGGTACCAACAGTCCTTAGTAATTAAAGGTGCCTTCTATGTCCAGAACCTTGGCGAGAGAAGTAAAAATTCACCCTCTGTTTCTTGAGAATTGCGGTTTTCTAATCATTTTGGAATGATTAGCATTTGGGTGACTAGCGGAGTCACCTCCCCACTTTCTGTTATACAAATAGTTCATCTTGGGAATAGCTTCTGAGGCACCAGACATCCCCTCCACACCTCACTCCCGAAGGTAGCACATTTCATTGTGTGCATCCCTCCCAATTCTGGCTGTCATTCCTTTAAGGAGACCCGACTCTGAACTTTCAGAAGAATGTAATGTTTTACGTTAACACCAAAAGCTCTATACACTGAGGAAGAAAACATCAAGAGATGGAGGTTCAAATAAATTTCTAATCTTTATAGTCCTTTAGTGTTTATATTTTAAAAAAGGAGGCATAATTTATTTCTGATGAAACCGAATTGCTCAGCTCTCCACTAATAGGATCCTCAGGGCAAAAAGGGTAGAGTAAGAGTCACCATAAAAAGAAGAAGCTTCACAATTTTTTGAAGTTTAAACTTGAAAACAATAAATTAATAATTAGGTTTGTCATGATTATTGCACTTTATGATAAATTGTTCTCATTTAGTGAATGGGATTAATGAACTTGAGTGACCCGGAGGATTAGGAAAAGACAAGTAATATTGGTCTAAGAAGCACTGGTGACGATTCCTATTTTGATAAGGAAGTCAACAAGCCATGGGCAGGTGTAATGGCACATCACAATTTTTTTACCCTTCTTCTTATGCTTTTTTTCCCCCCTAGAATTAATTTGACTGTTTGCCAAATGTTTTCCACCTGAAAGCTGACCAGTGCAAAGACCTTTCTGCTCTTGCCACAGAACTGTAGCAGAGTTTCCATCTGGTGCAAACATTTTTTTTTTTTTGGAGCCCAATCATGGTGATTTATTTTTCAATCAGCCACATAATCAAAGGAATGCTTAAATATCTTATACTGTCATTGTGGAGGGACGGAGCAGCATTCTACAAAAGAATCATCACTAAAGCAATGGAGGTCCATCTGCCTAATTATCCAGCGATGAAGATCGCCTTTAGTAAGCACAATATTAAAACTGTTTTGGGTTCTTCAAAGGTGCTGCATTCCCATCATCTTCCCTTGAAAATAATGAAAGGGAAGGCACAATAATAGAGCGTTAAAGTGGATGGCATGTAGCAAGGGCTCCAGGCAAGCTTTGTGTTTCCTCCTGTGAAAAGTATCACCATTTATTATCACTCATTAAAATTTAATTTTATATGGCATCTTTAAAAGGTCATTTTTTAAATTGGAATTTTGTCGGCAACATTACTGACTGGTTAACTACTGTGAAAAAACAAACCTTCATAGATTTATTGTTTTAAGCTATTATTAAAGAGGCACCTTAAAAAAAACAGAACAAATTATTTCCTTCTTATAGAGCAAGATTGTTCTCCTTTCTAAGTAATTTAGTTTACACAGTATTTTCAGTTGATTTTTGTACTAAAAGCACCTTGGAAACCTAATTAGAAATAGAAAATCATTAGCATATAAAGGGTTTAAACCTATAGCTTAACTATGACAAATTTAAACCAAGACTATGATGGTGAAATGCAAATCACCCTAGCATGGAAAGTGGAGAAGTTCAACTCATATCTTTTCTTTGTACTTACTTCAATCAAAATCTATTATTTTTCTACTGAATCTTATTTTAGTATAGACTATGATTACTTTGACTTCTAGTCTAAATTGGTTTTATGTAGCTGTACAGTTGTAATAAATATTAATACTTATACTATCAATATAAAAGAAACCCTTTATTCTCCAAAAGGAAAGAGAAACATTTTTATAGCACCAAAATTTTCAGGCACTTGATACACATTTTATTCTTTAATCATATAAAAAAATTGAGATAGACATTGAGCCTATTTTGGCATCAAGGAAATTGATATTTACGAAAGATAGGAGACATATGCTAAAACCATGCAAGAAGAAGTTAGTTTAATAGGAAACATAGATTTAACCCAGATCTTCCTCGCTCCAATAGAATTTCCAATACTAGGCTATCTCCTAAAGAAAGTATATCTATTTTCACAAAAAGAAAAGTCAGCAAACTTTCTGTAAAGAGAAAAATAGTAAGTATTTTCTGCTTTTCAGGGTGTACCATCTATGTAGCAACTACTCGATTTTGCCTTTGCAGCACAAAAGCAGCTATAGATAAAATGTAAAGGAATAGGCTAGCTGTGTTCAAATAAAGCATTCTTTTCAAAATTGGGCAGCAGGCTAGGTCAAAGGGTCACAGTTTGCCCTGCACTACAGTATAAGCTGTGTAAAGGCATAAACTTTATTTTTTCAATATTATATAATCCAATGTCTAAAAAGGCAATGATTAATGATATTAAAAATAATGCCAGTTAATACTTATTTTGAGTTTGTTATTGGCTGCTTTTGCATACAATAACTCATTTCTTCTCATAATATCCCTGCAAGTTAGTTACTATTTTTACCCATTTTAGGAGATAAGCAAACTGAGGAATGAATAATTAATTGGTCAAGATAATTCAGCAAGTAAGTCAGGAATCTGGGATTTAAATAATAAAAATGCATAATACACAGTAAGATCTCAATAATTGATTAGTTAAACTAATGAATAAATGAATGATTGAATGAATCAGTATAGAGAGTTAGTCCTGGGTATTCTGAGAAAAAATACATATCTTGGTAATTTAGGAGATACCATTCTTCCAAATGGTCTAGGTTTACATAGCCAGAGGCAATTTTTTTTTTTTTTTAAAGGAGAGGCAAATCAAATGATGGAAAATGTTAATCTGCTATTGAGGATATATTTCTGTATTTCAATTAATTAAATTAATTGTCTGCTACGGTTTGACTGTGCCCTCCAAAGACTCATGTGTTGGAAACTTAATTCCCAATGCAATAATGTTGGGAGATGAGGCCTCATAAGAAGTGATTGGGCCATAAAGGCAGAGACCTCATGAACGGGTTGACACTGTTAATGCATAAATGGATTAGTCACCGAAAGTGTATGTTGTCGGTTGGGCGCGGTGGCTCACACCTGTAATCCCAGCACTTTGGGAGGCCGAGGCGGGCGGATCACCAGGTCAAGAGATCGAGACCATCCTGGCTAACACGGTGAAACCCCGTCTCTACTAAAAATACAAAAAATTAGCCGGGCGTCGTGGCGGGCGCCTGTAGTCCCAGCTACTGGGGAGGCTGAGGCAGGAGAATGGCGGGAACCCGAGAGGCGGAGCTTGCAGTGAGCCGAGATCCCACCACTGCCCTCCAGCCTGGGCGACGGAGCAAGACTCCGTCTCAAAAAAACAGAAAAAGAGTGTGATGTTATGAAGAAGTCTGGCCTCCGGTGTCTCTGTCTTGTGCACTGACTTCCGCCTTATGCCCTTCCACCATGAGATGACCTTGTCAGTTGCTGACTTGGACTTCCCAGCATGCATCTAGAACTGTAAATTAAATTAACTTGTATTTTTAATAAACTATCCAGTCTGTAATGTTCTGTTCTAACAACAGAAAACAAACTAAGACATTGTCTTATCTTAAGTAAAACCGAACTTTGCATAAGTAGGTGGGAAGTTTTTAATTTAACTGACAAGTCCGCGTTTTTCATGGAGGAATGCAGGAAGCAAAGAAGGAAGAAAAAGGAAGGAAGGATAAAAATCTGAGAGAAGTTGAAAATAGAGATGGGAGCTAAGGGATATCTGGTGAGAAGAGAATTGTGAGGAAGACCTTTTAATCAACAAGTATTTACCAAGGGTTAAAATCTATTGGGTACTAAGCTATGCACTGATAATACATTGATTTTAAAAAGAAAGAAAAATAACTAAGGCTGTTTTATTTATAAAGCTTATAGTATATTAAGGAGACAACATAAAC